CGCGCGCCAATGCGCGCGCCCAGCTGCCGCCGCCTTCCTCATGCGCGTGTACGTCCAGCTCTCTTAGTCCCGCGCGGACTGGGCCTTGTCCGTCCGCGCACGCGTCGTCCATCGCGCACTCCCGCTGGTAGCTGACTTCTCCCCGCGCGTGCCCCCCATCGCTCAGCTCTCCTAAGCCCTCCAGGTTTAGGCCTCGCGCATGTGCGCCCTGCTCGCGCGCTTCCGCCCGCGCGCCCTCGCCGCCTGCCTGTTCGCGCGCGTCATCTCCAACGCCCAAGCCCCCTCCGCCTACGGCGCACCCCACTGCGCCTGCTCCCTCGCGCGTCGTACCCATCGCCCGCGGGCTCCAATCGCCTATCGTGCACCCGCGTACATCCGCGGTTCCATGCGTGTTGCCGACGCCCGCAGCCTGCCTACCTCCTGCGCACGATGACGCGTCACTCTCGTCCAACCTCCTGGTGCCGCGTCTCCGTTTAACACCTCGGCCCTTCGACCTCTTGCGCGCATCATGGCACGATGCGCGCCATCCGTCCGATAGCTGGTCCTCACGATTCCTTTGCCTCCCGATGGCCATGGGTCCCAACCAACCAACCCAATACAGTCTCCGGCATGCCATATCCAACCATCTTCCATACCTAGCCTTCCCCGCCTTTCGAACTCCGTGTGCCACGCCCGTTTCTTCCTCGTGCACGGCCCACAACATTGGCTTGCCTTTTGCGCCCTTGTTTTGCGTCGTCTTTTAGCCCGGCACTTCTTAACCTTCAACTCGGCCCGTGGACCACATCCCTTTGGCCAATCTCGTACGCATGATGGTCGAGATATTGGACTTGATGGCTCTTCCAACATGTTCTCTAGCCATAAAACAAGACCATCGTCCTCCTCCTTGTCGGACTCACCGGGGTTGATGACCACTTTCGTATCATGCTGGGTGGCCGCAGCGCGTACCGTACGCTGCTGGCACTGACTGGACGCTGCCCCGCACTATGTGCGCGGGCGCAGACGCTGGGTAACACTGCTGGGGGCGCGGACTGGCCGCTGGCGTGCGCTGGCAACGCCAAGGCTGCCGTTGGGTGCGTACCGCACGCTGCTGGGCGTTGCGGTTACGCGGACTGGCGTGCTGGCGGACTGGAAGGCTACTGGCATCGCCCGCACGCTGCCTCTGCGCAGAAAGCCGCAAGCCGCTGCACTGGCGCGCGCTGTCTGGCACGCTGGGCACTAGCCGAAGCGCTGCTGCCGCTGTGTGCGGCAGCGCGGCCACGGTCGACTCCTTGCCGACCGTCCGGCGACATTCTCCGACCAAACTGACTTAATTAACCTGTTATGACCTTAGATGATC